TATAATTAGGAGAGGCAAATAATAGGTATCACTCCTTTCCTAGAACAGAAGGAGAGGTGGTAAATCAGTGAAAGTATGATCAAACTGAGCAGTCCCCAAATATGCACTTTTTCTTTCAATGCCCCATTCATCCCTTCTTTCAATCTCAACATTGACTTTTTTATTATTATTAAAAGTTGCCTTTGAGTATCTACTTCATTAATTCCAGAGTCATTACATTCAGCACTTTTGTTAAGATCAGTATATGTCCTGTCTTTGATCATCAGGGACAGTACTGTTTTTCATTTATATTGGATATAACTAACTCAAAGTTCTTTGTCTTCTCTTAGCCCTCTCCAAAAAGCCACAGCAGTCAGAGGGAAAAACAGTAGACTTCAGGGACAACTTAAAAGGAAACTAAGCATAGTTCTTTTCCATTTACTTCAAGCTCTGAATGATTCTAGCTAAAAGTCCTATGGGATAGGTATCTGGATGAAAATGTGTCTCTGTCTGAAGTGTCCCTTTTCAATTTTATAGATGTGCTCCATCACACATAGGAATTTTATAAAAATGTTTTTCTCTGCCACAGAGGTCAGGGTTTTGCAGGCCTTTGAGGAAAAGATAACACATCTAAATGTCAGCTCAACTGAAGAACCATGATACCCCACTGGAACACCATGTTCTCAGTATTTGGCAGACTTTGGGAATACCCCAAATCACATGTACTTTGGAGGATGTTAATAGGTCACAAATTAAATAAATTTAGTTGGCCAATCATCCTCAACTCACTTCTGAGTTTGAACTAATTGATAGGCTTCCCCCTTTCCGTCCCAGTCATACTTGCTACTGCTAATTCAAATTGATTTTAACTGGATTCAGATAAAATTCACCTTTTTGCTTTTACAAATACAACTGACAGGAACAAATAAAAACAGTTCTATTTGTAAAGAGCAGCATAGTAATAAGACTTTGGACCTTGAAGCTTACAGAAGACTAATGAGATAATGTCTAAAATGTGTTTGAGCTGCAAGTCTGAAAGGCTCCATGGAGATAAAAAATATGATAAATAATGCAAGAAACCGTTGAGTCGGGAAATCTGTTTTCTGGAGGACATGTAAGTATTCAATAAATACTTTATAAATATGTACCTGCTAATCTTATCTGTCAACTCCGACCCAGGTACTGTAGGCTGAAATAGTTGAAAAGTGCTATTATTTCTATCATAACAAATAAGAATCTCACTCTCTGATGAAAGATTTTCCAAGAAAATTCAAACAGGAAACTATGGCAATTAGGTTACTCTTTTATAATTAAGCCAAACTTTCAACCTCAACTTCAGCTCTTAGTCAATCTTATTATCAATGTGAAAGCACTAGTCCTGGCCCCCTCCAACTTTCTACTCTATTCAAGCCAAACGTATCCCTGTGGGATACTGATGGTATCCTAAATTGAGAAAAATCATAAAACACACCCTCTTTGGGGTTCTTGAACCATCAAAGTACACTTAACAAATGATGTTGTCAACAGTGACCATATAATGGACTTCAATCATGTAAGAGCTCAGTTCAATTACCCACAAGCCTTAATTTGCTCCTTCATGTAAGTCCCTTCATTTAAAAGTACACAAAACCTTTATTATGGTAAAATAAAACCTTATCCTTAACAATCTTTTTTCCTTAACAATTATAAATAAGAAAACTAAGTTGTTGTTTTTTTTTTAATGAACTCTACAGAATAACAAAATGGGACACAAAATTTAACACAGAATTTCCTGATGGGAATATCAAGTACATTTGGCACATACTCTTCTCCTTTATACAAGCTCCTATAAGTCAATGAGTCTCCATTTGTTTAAAACAAGTATCATGTTATTTTTCAAACGTTAGTTGAATAAAACTCCTTACTTTTTTAACTCATCCAGTCTTAAACAGGTTCATTAATTGAGTAACAAAATTTCTATAAAATAAAAAAGTGGGAAGAGTTATGGTACATTACCTTATTTGGCCCTTGTCTATAGACAGGATGAATTTAGTTAACAAATATTAAAACAGACTATTCATGGGTAGCGGGCCATGCTTGGTCTTTTGGGATACATATATCTCAAAGTAATAAGACAACTCCCTCATCTCATCCAAGTTTACAGTCCAATACTATGTTTCCCAAAGTACACCAGTATTCATCTGGAAAGAATGTATGATTTAAAAAATTTAGACACCCAAGCTTCTCCTCAGACTTATTAACTCAGAAATCCTAGGGATGGGAGACCAGCAGATGGTGTAATGGTTATGTCACCGGAATTCCACATAGTCAATCATAGTTTGAGTCCTAAACCCAGTGGTTTAAAACTCACACCAGGCACATGTGCATGCATGCCCAAAATCCCAAGAAGAGAATGAAGGAAAAGGGATTGCAGCATGGCTAACTTTCCCTGAGGGGCAATTTCTCACTTTCTGTCTCTCTGTCTCTTTATCTCTCCAGTGAACACACATGCCCTATAGCGAAAATCTCTCAAAAAAAAAAAAAATTCTAGGGATGGGACCTCGGAATATGTATTTTTAAAAGTATCTCAGGTACTGCTTATCCACAATAACATATAACCATTTCTGTGGTAGGTCTAAATACACAAAATATAGTCAGGGAAAAGCTGAAGAGAATGCTTGCCTTTTAGGGATTTTTTTTTAAAATTGCTCAGTGTATTCCCTCATTAATGACAGATATTTATCAGAAAACAAGAAATCATCTGCCTAACCCAGACATTCTTCTAAATCATATTCAATGGTAAGTTAGGTTATGATCTATTGCTATTCTAAGGAGAACACTTAGTGCATAAACTCAACCCTAGTGAGCTACCATTCTCCCTAAAATACAAAATTCACTTGACATTTAGTTTAAGTTTTTGTTTGTTTGTTTGTTTGTTTGTTTGTTTGTTTTAGCTCATGAACCACACATCCCAGCCTATTTTCTTCCAATGATGGTAGTATTCATAAGAAATGGTAATTTTTATAATTTTTTTCCTTTTTCAGAAATACAAAAACTTAGTAAACATAAAGTTGAATTTAGAAACATGAGCTATCTGGACTTTAAGAAAGTAAACTTCTAGAAGAATTAGTTGGTACACTCTGATTTTGTTTAAGACTAATACTTTGTGTATAGAAAAATCATGTGAGAAATAGTTATTAGAAAAATATGACTTCATAGAAGATAGACAACTGATATTTTTTCTTTATGCTTTGTCAGAGAGAGAGAGAGAGAGAAGAAAGCACTCCCAACATCCTGGGGAATGGTCACAATTCCTTCTCTTTCATCTCTCCCCACTTTTCCAGATTTTGGATACATGGACACATACAGCTAGTGTGATTTCTCCTGCTGCAGGGTCCAGGACTCGAACTCCCTTAACCATCAGGCCACCTGTATAACTACATTTATAACAAGTACCCTAGACTGATTCTAATGTGAATTATTTTGAGGAAATATTTCAGAGATTTCAAGATGTCAAGCTCTCACATCCAAACTTCCCTGACAGTCTAAATCGATATATGAAATATAGTAGATTGTCAACACATGCATATTTAATTAAAAGAATTATATAAAAGGAACAAATAGGGAAATTCAGTTCACCTAATTAGAGCCCACATTTGGTAAGTCAGAACTGGGAGACCTTGCTATATTATGAATTAATGTCTCCAGAACTAGAAGCCACATGCAGTGAAAAGCAACTTAATATAGGTTTTGTTGTTGTTTCTTTTAGAGAGCAAAATATTCTTTTATTTTTTTAAGAAAGGTTTTTGCTACAGGGCACGTGTACTCACTAGAAGGACTGAGAAAGACAGAGCAAGAAATCACCCCCCTCCCCAGGGCGATGGCCACACCACAATCCCTTCTCCTCCATTCTCCTCTTGGGATCTTGGGCATGCACGCATATGCACCCAGCATGAATTTAAGCTGCCCAGTCCAGGACTTGAACCGTGGTCAAAAACACTCTAATTACCTACTTTTAATGTTGAAAATATGCTGAATAGTGTATGTGTAGGGGGGTGGTTAAGGATGGGGTGAGAGTTATTCTCTGGCCAGTAGCAATAATCAAAGAAATATAATTCTGTAGATCATATAAAATAAAACCAAATGGAATCTGTCCTTGGTATAAATTTCCCCTACTTTCTATGTTAGGATTGTAATTTCCTCATGGGCATTAATTCTCCTGGGAATTAACTGTGGACAAATTAAACACTTGTGGTATATCTAATTACTAATAAATCACAGAGAACTGAGATATTCTCATCCTTGCTTCTTTTGGAGGAACCAAAATATGAGTACATTCTGGGGTTGTAAGCTGTGAGTCTGGGAAACACGCTTTATATATGTATATAATATGCTATATGTATATAATATGCTATTTCTCAGAGAGCCCACAGACCTGTAAACGGAGTTCTGGCTTACTTCTTAATGACTTTATGACCTTGAATAAGTTATTCAGGCCCTGAAAGGCTCAGCTTCTTCAACTGTAAAATGGGTACCCAGGTCAGTCTGTTTTTGTGACCCAGGTTCTTTCTACTCAGTCATGGTACTTCCCACACCATACTGCCTAACTGAGGTTTATGTGGGAGGATCACATGAGATAATTTTTGTAAAAGTGCTCTGTAAGCTCTAAAGCACTATACAGATGAAGCGGATTATTATTAGTCTTTTATGAAGCCCAGCTATAAAGATGCAAAGTGACCTAGAAAAAGAAATCAGGGTAGACAAACCTAAAAGATATCATCTGTAACACCTAGACCATCACCCTGTACATGGCAGGTAGGTGCTTAACAAGTACTGAACAAAGAAAGGAAAACACAGAACACAGGTTTGTGCCTCTACCATACTAATTCTGATACCAAGAGGGAATAAATAAATATGCTTTAAAGTCAGGAATAGTTTCAATCAACCATACAAATCAGAGTGCCCCAAGAGCCTAAGATCTTAAAATTAATGTAACTTAATATGAAAGAGCATCATCTGCAATACAATGATTATATTCTTACCTCTTCTGTCTTTCAAATGCAGTCCTGCAGGGATAGTAGAACACAGGCAAGGTTGCTGGATTTTTTCTCCTTACATCTGATAGATCTGCGTAAGTGTCCTAGCAACCTCTAGAGAGAAAAAAAAAAATTATAGAATGTTGGATACCTAAGCCCTATTTGGGATCTAGAAGGTTGATTTTTAGTAATACCCTGATTTTAAGCCAAACCGGATTTATCCCCTAACATCTCTTGCAATACACACACACACAGGAGAATGGGATGTAGGGGGAAAGGGATATAGTTATTTACTTTATAAAATAATTCTTTATAGGGTTCATTTGTCAGTTTTCTAGACTACGTAAAATGTGATTTGTTTTTAAATATTCAAATCACATTAACATGCAACTTGACAAAGACAGCTATTTGCAGAATAAGGCAAACCCACACTGGGAAATACCAAATTAAAAAATCCCGGGGAAAAAATATGTTTTCTTCTGGGTGGGCCTTTACTGCCTTCTTTATCCTGGGTTGTGAATGTTTTATTTTTCCCCGGTGGGAAACATTTCCAAAACTGAAGTGTTTCTTTTCTATTGTTGTAACGAAACAAACAAGTTTGCTTTCAGAACCACAGAAATGCCCAACTGTTAGAAAAAAAAAAAAAAAAAAAAAAAAGTTTTTCTATCGGTCTATACTTCTCTATATCCCACA